GACTACGGGACCCGTCACGTCGGTACGCTCTAGCCTGACGAACGGTATGGCCGGGCATGGCGCTGACGACGGTCCAGCAACCGCTGCGGCGGGTGAGGGCGCTTCCTGCACCATCTCAGCGGTCGATGCCGCTATCATCGCACCCAGGGCCGAAGCCCCACCCACACACGCATTAGTCCAGTCGGAATAGACATGCGACCTATTCAAAGACCCCACCACAGCGATAATTTTTTTGGAGGTTGTTTGGACCTATAGGAACATGCCCTCAATTTTTCGTAAAAATCCTAGTTGCATTGTAGCAAATAAAAATTATTAAAAATTAAGAAGTCGATTTTTTCTGTTATTTTTTTGTTATGCATTTTATCGAAAAATGCTGCCTACAAAAGTCGTGCGTCATAATGTCCTCTATAAAAAAAAGTCCTATACAAAAATGACCTAACATTGTTAGTTCAGCAGTTAATTGCAATGAAATAAAAAATTCTCACTTTGCTTCTTGCACCCGTTATCGGCCATTTATCAACATATCATTTCAAAGTTCATCCATCATCTAGAGAAAACCCTCCCCAAGAGGTACGTGCAAGATTTATTGATCTACGTTATATAGTTAAGCAACAATCTCCGATCTACGAAAATCCGGGGTTTTCAAATTCCCATCTCCGCGGAAGGCTCACAGAGTAGAAAAAAATTTAGGAGCTTCGTTTCATTATGTACATTCTCGATTAAAAAAAAATTTACATTTTCGTTAATAAAAATAGTACATTATGATACAAGTGCGGAAAGTTGATAATTCCTGACGAGTGAGAAGTTTGCCGGCCGAGCGAAGCGAGGCCGGCAAACGTCACACGAGTAGGAATCATCAACCCGCACGCGTATCATAATACTATTTTTTGCAACAATGTACGGAAAGTTCCCAGGATATGCACCAAAAAGAAGCACGAAATGGCCGATTCTTGATGAGTTCAGAGTGTGCGGGAATCATCAAGAATGGACCATTTTGTGCTTATTTTTTGGTGCACAAACTGTATACTTTACGTACAGCGTTGCAAAAACACCGTTTTTCGATGACTTAAAATGTTTGCTTATAAACAAATAGAAATAAGTTCTTGAATTATGTAGATATTTGAGGTATTCTTTAAAATTATGATGCGTTTTTGTAAGACGAGCAATTTAAAAAAAAGTTGCAATGTCTTGATTACAACCCGAGATATCGATGTTTATACGTTTTTGCAATTTACCATTGTTGTAATCAAGATTTTTGCAAAATTCGAATTCGTGAACCTTCTCCATTAATTTGGGCATGAGATTCAATATAATACTAACCATTTGGAGCGTTCGTCTCGTTGCGGGTAATCATATATTCCGATCTCCTGCGGGCGGCACAGCGCGGTGGGGGTACCGCGTCCCGCCCCGCAGCTCTCCTCGAGCGGCGTAGTTAACAAATTCATTATCTTCCTTAAAACTGGTCATAGAGAGTTGCTTTCTTTTAATTCTGCGTATTATTTGCTGGCGAACACGATTATGCTCTTGAAAATCAATTTATTCCATTAGTTACCACAATAATTCTTGTATTTCCTCGATTTCAATAGAGCCACGCCTATAAATAGTTTTTCGATGAATGGGGAAGGGTATGGTAATAAAATTTCATTTTGTACAGACTTTCATTCATTACAATAAGTTTATTGTATGGTTTAAAAATAAAATCCGAGTAATAATTTCGCATTTTTAATCCTTCTTTTCGCTTAAAATAATAAGCAATTTCGTTTCTTCATGTTTTTTTTTGCCATACAATAAACTCATGCCCAACATAATAGAGAAGGCTCACGAATTCGAATTTTGCAAAAATCTTGATTACAACAATGGTAAATAGCAAAAACGTATAAACGTCGATATCTCGGGTTGTAATCAAGATATTGCAACTTTTTTTTTTAAATTGCTCGTCTTACAAAAACGCATCATAATTTTGAAGAATATCTCAAATATCTAGATAATTCAAGAATTTATTTTTATTTGTATATAAGCAAAAATTTTAAACCGTGAAAAACGGTGTTTTTTATTTACGAAAATGTAATTTTTCTTTTAATCGAGAATGTACATGATGATACGAAGCTCCTGAATTTTTTTCTACTCTGTGAGCCTTCCGCGGAGATGGGAATTTGAAAACTCCTAATTTTCGTAGATCGGAGATTGTTGCTTAACTATATAACGTAGATCAATAAATCTTGCACGTACCTCTTGGGGAGGGTTTTCTCTAGATGATGGATGAACTTTGAAATGATATGTTGATATATGGCCGATAACGGATGCAAAAAGCAAAATGAGAATTTTATTTCATTGCAATTAACTGCTTAACTAACAATGTTAGATCATTTTTGTACAGGACTTTTTTTTTATAGAGGACATTATGACGCACAACTTTTGTAGATGGCATTTTTCTTGAAACGAAAACTTGAGCGCCAGCTACTTGTACGGCGTAGCACCGACGAGTGACCCCGAATGGTCCTCGTTTGTTTACTATACGGGAATAGTTTGGTTAGCGGAGGGAGAGGTGAGGGGATCTCAGGGCGGAGTTTCCCGAACGCAAAAATGGCTATCCCAGACAGTCCCAGACTGTTTCAAAAATATCCCAGACGATCCCAGGCTGTCCCAGACAGTCCCAGACTGTTCCAGAAGAATCCCAGACGGTGCCAGTCTGTACCAGA